TACATTGAAGGTTAAAACACTACATTTGTTATGAAGAAAAGATGATCTAGTAACTCATTTATGAAACAACAAAAAAGCATAATATGCAAGTATATTGTGTTTTATCATAGGAATGATAGATCTGTAGATTATAGTGGAAAAATTCTTAACTAGAATTAGGAAGATACTCATTCTTTCATTTGTTCAGTCATTTGTTTATTCATTTAATAAATATTTACTGATCCCCCATTCTGTGCCTATTCCAGGCACTAAGGACAGAAGTAGTAGTGAACAACACATAAAAAGCCTTGCTCTGAAGCAATTTGTCTTCCAGTAGGGGGAGACAGATAACAATAAATAAGTAAAATGTTCGTCATAAGATGGTAATAAACAGTAGTAGTAAGTAAGATGGTATAAGATGATAAATAAATAAGGCTGTAAAGGAGGCTACACAGAGAGAAAGGAGTGGCTGGGTGGGATTCTAATTTTAAAGAGGTAGTCAAAGAAGCCTCACTAAGAAGGTAACATTTGCAGAAATTCTTGAACAGGATGAATGATCAAGACATACAGTCATCTGGAGAAATAATTCTCTACGTAGGAAGAACAGCAAAGTCTAAGTCTCTGAGGCAGGAGAGTTCCTGAATCCTTTCAAGTATTAATACAACAAATGGCCAGTATGACCCAAGTACAATGAGCAAAGGGAGTAGGATAGGATGTGTGGTCAGAGAGTGCGTCAGACAGTGAAGGATCTTACAGGCCATTGTTAGGACTTTGGCTTTTCATATGAGTAACTTGGGAAGCTATTGGGGCATTTAAGCAAAGAAGAGACATAATCAGACTTATATTTAATAGGACCACACTGGCTACTGGGTGGAAAAGAGACTGCAAAGGGTAAGGGAACAAGGACAGAAACAGAAAGATCAGTCAGGAGATCCTTGAACTAATCTAAAAAAGAGATGACGGCTCCTTGAACTAGAGAAGAGGTGGTGAGAAATAGTTTGGCTCAGGGTAAATTTTGGAGGGAGACCTAAGGAGAGCTCAAACATGGGTATGAGAGAGAGGGAAATCAAGGATAAGGTAGAAATCAAGGTATTTGGAGCTGGCATTAATTGAGACAGGGAAGACGTTGGGGTGGGGAACAATTTTAGGGATAAAGTCAGAGATTAGGAATTCAGTTGTGGACATGTTAAATTTGAGATGTCAACCAAATATCCATGTAGAAATATTGCACGGGTGGTTGGATAGAAAGGTCTGGAGCTCAGGGAGCAGATTTATTTGGAGATGTAAATTTGAGGGGTCAGCAAGTAGATGGTGTTAAACCTATGAGACTAGGTGAGATCATCAAAGAAGTAAATACAGACTTAGAAAAGGACTAAGCTTCTTGTGGGAGGGAAATGCAGTGTTTAAAAGATGTTGGAAAGATTAATATAACTCATCAAAGGAGACTGATAGGGAGTAGCCAGAGAGTTGGGAAGAAATATAGAAGAATGTTGTGCCCTGGAAACCAGGTGAAAAATGTATTTTAAGGAGGAGGGATTGATTAAATACTATTGTTAGATCAAGTAAATGTGGATTTAATACTAACCATTAGCTTAATAATGTTGAGGTTGATGGTATTGTTTAGGGGAAATTGAAGTAGGGATAAAAGCTTCAATGAGAGTGAGAGGAAAGGATTTAGATAGATAAATGTGGACTATTCTTTTGAGGAGTTTTGGAAAAAAAAAAAAAAAGAGGCACAGAGATATGGACCAGTAGCTGGAGGGGGATGTGGGATCAAGGGGAAAATTTTTTAAGATGAAAGAAACAACCGTAGTGAACAAACCAGATAAAAATTCTTGCCCTTAAGCAATTTGTTTTCTACTAGGGGGAGACAGGAAACAAATAACAAATGAGTAAAATGTTTGCTGTCAGATGGTAATAAGTGGTAATGAATAAGATGGTATAAGATGGTAAGTAAATAAGGATAGAAAGGATACTAGAGACAGAGAGGAATGGCTGGGTGGGATTATAGTTTTGAGTAAGTAGTCGAGGAAGCCTCACTAAGAAGGTAACATTTGCAGAAATACTTGAAGATGATTAATGATCAAGCCATATACTTTGTATATTGATGGAGACAATTTAGTAGAGAAGGAAAAAATGATAATAAAAAAACAACATTTCTGAAGTGATGTGCTTAATTATGCAAGAGGATGAGATTTAATGCACAAATGGACGGGCTGGTCTTAGAAGCACAACCAGTTCACCCACGGGGAACTAGAAGGAAGGCAGAATGAGTATATGACATAGATGAAGACAGGTAGGCAAATGGATGTCAGAGAGGGAAATTTTAAAAGTTGTCTTCTGAATGCTTCTACTTGCTCAGTGAGACAGGAAACAAAGTCAGAGGCTGGCATGGAGATTGGGAAAGAGATCTTGGAGGTTCCAGGTGAGAAGAAAAGGTGTGAAATTGTTTTCTAAGGCAGTAAGCTATAGAATGGACAAGGGTCTGTAGAATGGTTGAGACAGCATTAATGGCCCACTTGAAGTTAGGTCCTGAATTTAAATGACTGTTGTATGTTTTTCTCCAAGAACACACAGCTGCCTGGATTCAGGCTTGGAGCAGGCTGAAAGCTATCTTTATAGTCAGGTTTTGCCAGGGACTTACAACGACGTGAAAGGGGACAACGGAATTAAGAATGTGTATACGGGAGTGATTTCACTGAGAGACTGTGGAATCTAAGTCAGGTAAGGTAGGAGATGCAAATATGAGGGAGCTGAGCGATACTTTGGATGGGTTAAGATCAGTGGTTTGTAGGTCCCAGTAAGGCAAAAGAATTATTGGAGTTGCAATGTCAGAGGAATTGAGATGATCAGAGAAATTGAGATTACAAAGGGTAGCAATTATTAATACTGGAAAGGTCAAGGGTTTGCCCTGGGGGAACTGGGTAGAAGTGGTCACAGAACTAAGATACCAACATCCCAAGTGGGCTTTAGTCTCAGCAGAAGTAAGATTTCAAAAGTCTTTGAGGGAGATTAGGAAGCAAAGAAATAAAGCAGATTTACAAACTAATCCTAGGGATCAGCTTTGGGTATAGTTACCGGCACATGGAACCAAGAAGCAGCAAAAAATCAGAAGTCTACTAAGTTTTCAAGGTAACTGTAATGCTAAAAAAAAATCATGAGGTAGCCTTAAGAAGCCTTTCACTGTTAAAATAATATTTGTGATATGAAATTCACACACCTGAAAGTGAGCTTCAAAGCAATATGGGCCTCAAGACAGTATACTTCCCAGTACTCAGCAATGGTGTGGCCTGGAGGCTAAAGGACAGAAAATCACCTCCCAGGTGGCCAAGCAAAGGGCTATAGGAAGCAATGGACAGGGAATATTCTTCTCAGAGAACACAATCCAGGTGGAAAAAAAGACTGTTCTCCATTGCCACAATCCAGAAACTGCTGTGTATTTATCATTCCTTCTTTTCTAAATGGGAGTTTATAATTCTAATTTTTCTTTGTTACCTATTGTACATGTAGTGTCAAGACTTGATAAAGAAAACGATACATCATCTGTAGATTCTGGACTTTGAGTTAAAGGCAGTGCTACATGGGACTCTGGGTTCTCCTTTGGGAAGAAGAAGAGTGTTCTGGAGGCCAGAGAGGTAGACTATAGAAGATACACTTAAGTATTTATTGAGGTTTGTGTCTCTTGTTCCATTTGTTCCATGGTATAGAAAAGGCAGCTCAGCTCATAGCTACATTGCTCAATTCCTTCCTCCTTGAATCTGGGTGTGACCTATTTTTTTTTGTTTGTGGGATTAGAAACGTAAATTTCTTTTTTAAAAACTTTTATTTTAAGTTCAGAGGTACACGTGCAGGTTTGTTACATAGGTAAACTTGTGTCATGGAGTTTTGTTGAACAGATTATTTTATTACCCAGGTATTAAGCTTAGTATCCATTAGTTATTTTTCCTGACCTTCTTTCTCCTCCCACCCTTCATCTTCTGATAGGCTCCCATGTCTGTTGTTCCCCTCTTTGTGTCCATATGTTCTCATCATTTAGCTCTCACTTATAAGTAAGAATGTGTGGCATTTGGTTTTCTGTTCCTGTTTTAGTTTTCTAAGGATAATGACCTCCAGCTCCATCCATGTCTTTGCAAGGGATGTGACCTTGCTCTTTTTTAATGGCTGCATAGTATTCCATGGTGTATATGTACCACATTTTCTTTATCCAATCTATCATTGATGGGCATTTAGGCTGATTCCATGATTTTGCTATTGTGAATAGTGCTGCAGTGAACACACATGTGCATGCATCTTTTTAGTAGGATGATTTATATTCCCTTGGGTATATACCCAGTAATGGGATTGCTGGGTCAAATGGTATGTCTGTCTTTAGGTCTTTGAGGGATGTGACCACTTATAACCAGTTTGTGTCTGTGGCATATGAGTGGAAATGCAATGTGTGAAACTTCTTATCCAAGGCTTTTAAGAGCAGGAGTGTTTTATTCATCCTTACTGTGTCCTTTTCATTGCTGGATGCAGATGATGGGGAGGATTTAAGGAATAGCAGAGCCACCCTTAAGTGCTTAAACCACCCTTAAGATGGAAGGAGCCTAGAGGAGAGTACCTGCTGACCACAAACACCTGCCTTGTACTGTTATATGATCAAAAAATAAATGTTATTGTGTGAAGTCACTGAAAAACTTGGATTCATTAGTTATAGTAGCTAGCTTTACTTTTCCTAATACAATGTTGATCTTGATAAAAACTCCATTTCTCTGGGCTGCAAATGTTTACAAAAGTAAGTGGTTGGACAAGACAATCATTAAGCTTCCTAAGTGATCCTAAAATGATTAATTTCTGCTTAGTTTTGATTATATATAAACAAATATAAGCTCACACTTATGTCTTCCCATCTTCTAGAAATTCATAATTAACCCCCCGCCCATGCACACACACAGAGAACTCAAATGGAATTTCTGAATTCTTTTATCCAAGAATGTTCAGAATGGCTGACACCACCAGTGAGGCACCTTTTGCCTTACCTGTGTGGTAGGGCACTGTAGGTTTAGCAACACGGAGGGACTGGTACAGCGTAACAGGTTAAAGTAAAACAAAATGGTCTTGTTCCTGTTAAGAAAGAAAACACAATCTTTTTAGTGACCATGGAAATGTTCCACATCATCAGACCCTGAACACTTTTGATAAATAACCTTTAAAAATTGGCTTCATTATCTATAGACAGCTGAAATATATTCCCCCTCACCCTTAAGTACCTAACTTTTAAAATGTCTTTTTTTCTAATAGTAAAAAGTTGAAATACTCAAACTATCCATCAACAGGAGATTCGTTAAATAGATTTGCATACCCATACAGTAGAACATTACATTGCCATTGAAAATAATGCTAAAGAACATATCTAATGGATGGTGAAATTTACAATACATCAATTTTAGGAAGGAGGTTGCTAAAGAATATTAACATATGATTTGATTTTAATTTATAAAAACAAGTATAACATGAAGAAACAAATTATTACATCTGAATGTTGGGATTATATTGCTTAGTTAATTTTTGTGCTTTTATGGATTTCCCAAAATAAATGTACATTACTTTGGTAATCTGAAAAAACATAAATGAATTAAGTGATACTTTCTCTTTGCTGAAAATTATAGCCAGGGCCAGAGTAATGAAGCAGGTTGATATTCATTATCATTAGTTTTGAGTGGTATATTATTCTACCATTTAGCAAGCCATGGTTCTCTTTTGAATCTCAATTTTCTCATCAGTAAAATGAAGATAATACTATTCCTACCTACTTCACAGAGGTGTTGGGAGGGCCTAAGATAATGCACGGTGGACTTAAGACAAGTGGTTGCCCAACTTCAGCATGCACAAGTAAAACCTGAAGTGTTTGTTCAAAATTTTGATTCCTGACTCTTTCCCAAACCTCAAGAGTCCAAATATCTAGATATGGGACCCAGGAATTAGTATGTTTTCCCCTAAGTTCCCCAGTGGATTCAGATATAGTGTTCTGTAAACCATATCTTAAGAAACACAGCCCTAAATATTCAGGAAAAACGTTTCCTAACTCTTTGTCAACTCCCCAGTAAATTAATGTGACTACATGCATAGCACAAAATGTAATGGGCTGTTGAGCAATACTTTTCCTACCAACTCAAAATCAGTAAGTAGGATCCAAATCTAAGGATAAAGAAAGTCTTCCATAAGAGATTGGGGCTAGGTCTTTTAATCACTTCTACCTGGTTCCTACTCCTCTCTACATAAGCCAAAATTGTGGGGAGGGAGGTGGATCAGAGACAGTGGAGTTGGCAGGATACAACCAATGATTGCAGTTAAGAGAACTTTCCCTACCATCCCCACTGAGGAGAGGACAAGTTGTTTCTTCCAAATTCCCAGTTATAGAGGGTTCTAAGAGAATCTGTCATAGAGACTGAAGGTGCAGTAAGAGGGGTAGACCAACATCTCATTCTAATTGAACACCTCTTATATGGCAGACCAGCTAGTCAGTCTTCCATGCCCATTTGAGCAGGGAGAAATGAGACCCAAATAGACCACAAGAGAATTGAAAAAAAAGTCAATGAGGCAGAAAGAGGGCAGCAGTAAAACAGCCCATCATAGTAGGATATGGAATCAATAAACGGGCTTCAGCCTCCCTGGTGGTACCTCACCTGACATTAAGAGACTGTGGAGGTGAATCACCAGGGATGGAGCTGAAAGGGTTTGGAGGAGGGCAAACCAAAGCTGATCACTTACATCAAAGAACTATTCAGTGAGGACTGCCCCAGAAAACGTCTACCTGCACCCCATGAGAGAGCCAGCCCTTGGATGCCTGCCCTAGTGATTGTTGATGGCTGGTCAGTTATGTCCTAGCCACAGTGACAAAAACAACAGCAAAGCAAGTCCACAGAAACATTCCAGTTCTTTTTTCTTTAGTAAGAAGGGGCAGTAGCTAGGAAAGTAAAACACATCGTCCCTTTTCTTCTTCTACCCCTCACAGCATATTGAATAAGCTAGAACCAAAAAGGAAGAGAGGAGACGGGTAATAGAAGGCCAAGTCCTCTCTCTCACTTCAAGTTCTTTGGCAGAGTCAAACCTGAGCTTAGGGATTGGAAGAAATGAAACTGAAATCTTAAATTGGACTACACTGAACTTTTAACAACAGAAAGTGTCTGAAAACTATGTAATCTGCCCGAAATATCAAAGTGAGAAGGGAGATCTGAAGGAGCACTGTTAAAGGCAATGATATGAGAAAAATAAACCCATTCTAAGTTTGTATTCCACTAAATTCAAATGGCTGAAGAAGCTGGTTATAAATTCATACACAATATGTACAAGGCTACTACTTTGAGATCTCTAAGTGTTAGCTTGGCTATTTCGCCACCCAAAGCAACAACATCATCCACACAGTCTCACAGTGCATGTGATTCAAATTTGTACTTAAGCAAATGAGTAAATTATACATATGATGGATCACTGGGGTCCCTTGGGAGTAGTTAAAACTGTGAATAGTATATTAGTAAGTGCCAAGAGTTCACCATTGGTAAAATTGAGTTATAAACTGCAAACTGCTATATAAACTCAAGTTATTCACCAGATTATATTATCCTCAAGGGTAAGGTTTATACCTTATTCATCTTTACATCCCTACGTTGCCAGAACTTAACCTCATACTTGGCCCACTATAGACACTTATCAGATGTTTTAGAATGAATGAGATCAATTCCATAATAAGTTTTTGAAAATATTTATCTCAAAGGTTTTCAAGTAAGTCTTAGAATCGTCCTTAGTATTTCAGCACAAATCTACAGTCATTCTACCACAGCCTTTGATATTCTCAAATTTCAGTGGACCACATTTTTTTTTTTTTTTTTTTTTTGGAGATGGTGTCTCACTCTTGTCCCCCAGGCTACAGTGCGGTGGCATGATCTCGGCTCACTGCAACCTCCACCTCCAGGGTTCAAGCAATTCTCCTGCCTCAGCCTCCTGAGTAGATGGGATATCTACTCAGCCTCCTGAGTAGATAGCCTACCACCATGCCTGGCTAATTTTTGTCCTTTTAGTAGAGACGTGGTTTTGCCATGTTGGCCAGGCTGGTCTTGAACTCCTGACCTCAGGTGATCTGCCTGCCTCGGCCTCGCAAAGTGCTGGGATTACAGGCATGTGCCACCATGCCCGGCCTGACCTCAGATTTTTTACCTGCAAAGTAGATGATGGTGATTGCAGCTGAGCAATTCTGTGGAAGTAATTGAGGAAGTAACTCATAATTTAACTTAAATTATATTTCTACCAAGAAATAAAATAGAAACAATAGCAAACCCCTAGTTCAAGATGATGTACCAGGCACTTAAGCCTATCTCTCTTCTTTCCTGAGACTCATCGGAATAAAATAGTAAAAGTACCAATAAATGAATAAACCTCAACATACAAGCTAAGAATGTGGATGATGTGATTTGCTCACAATTGTATAGGAGAGTTCAGCAATATTTGGAACATGGGATGAATACTGAAGTGTGCTGAACAATGAATGCACCATACAGGGGTTCAGGGAGGGTGGGACAGAATTTGCCTGTTAGAAATCATGAAACATGCTAGACTGAGTTGAGAGTGAGAAATGTAGCCAAAGCAGAGAGATTAATTGAAAGTTTCTATACAGATTTTCAGTGCAAATCAGAACCACTGTCTTTCTCCCAGACCTCTATGCTTAGAATTCCAGCTTCCAGAAAATAGCTGATGAGCTAAAACTAAAATTGCAAAAAAAACCAAAAAAACAAAAAAACAAAAAAAAACAACTCATAATATTTTAAGAAAGTTTATTATTTTTGCGTTGGGCTGCACTGAACGCCATGCTGGGCCACATGGAGCCTGTGAGCCGTGGGTTGCACAAGCTTGTTTTATGGCATTTTGAAAGCCAGTGCCTGACATCCAGCTTTCTACCAATTTATGCTGTAATGGCATATGACAGTCAACACAGCCCTGTCACCCCACATGGTGCAGAGGCTTCTTTGGTAAGATGACCGACTAACACAGCAGCAAAGCAAATCCAACCAAACCACCCAGTCCTTTTTTCTTTAGTAATGGATAATTATGTAGCATCAGGCATATATTAGGAATCAAAATATAAAAGAGAAAAAATAAACAAAGAAAAATTAAATTATTAAAATAATTAAGGGCACAGGAGGGAACTTTAAAACTTCTAATATATTTAGAGAAATTTAAGCAGATTATTCATAAAATGAAAATGTGATGTTATTGTAAAATAATAATTGGAGAACAAGAAGGGCTTATAAAGATTAAAATAGAATTGCCAAAATAAAAAAAAAATCAAAAGAAGAGCTGGAAAAAATTAAGAAATTCTAAAATACAGAACAAAAAGTCAGAGATAAAAAATAAAAGGAAAAAAAGAAGAGGCACTGAGACTAATCCAGGAGATCTAAGGTATGACCAATAGTTCCAGAAAGACAATTGAAAAAATGGAAGGGATAAAAATCACAAAGAAATAACAAAAGAAAATTGTCCAGAGCTGATGAGAGTCATAGTTCTTCAGGATTAAGGGACTTACTAAGGACTCAAAGAAAGAATTAAAAAGGCCTCTATCAAATTGTGAGATTTCAGACCACTAAGAATAAAGAAATGATTTTAAGTACTCTCTAAAAGGAAAAAACTTATCATGATATATGTGAATTATACTGGCATTAGACATGTTGGATGCCAAAAATAATGGAGCAATGTCTTCACATTTCTGAAGGGAATTGTTTTTCAAGCTACACTTCTAAAGCTATACCATCAATCAAATATAAAAAGAGAAAAGAAAAGCCGAAGAGACAGAAAAGACTCAGGAACTCAGCAAGTTTACTTCTTATGCTTTCTTTTCTTAGGAATGTAACTGAGAATATTCTCCATGAAAACAGGAGGGTCAACAGAAAGAGAGGCAGCCTTGGGGTATAGGAAACAATAAATTCACATACTTATACTAAAAATTATTATTTGTATGAAATTAAGTTAACCGGGCATTCTGTACTTTTGTTTCACAAAGCTGATAACTCTAGAAAAAGACAATTTAACAAGGTAGAGAAGCCCCAGAATTAAAGCTATGCAATAGGCCTACA